TTATATTAAATAGGGGAATTTGTCGGCCAATATATTGGTTCCGCAGATCAAACGGATGTCATGACTTTCTCTAGTTTATTTGATCGAGCCTCACCCTCAATTATTGTATTCATCCTTTGGGATAGATACAGGGTTTGAGGTAAAACGCTCTTTCATTTAAACTATGAAAATTATAGGGTCAGTTTGACTTCATCTTTTTCAAAATTAAATTTTTTAACGTCCTTCCGAAGCGGGCAACGGGATTTCAATTCCGATGACCGACAGCTTCTTACGGGCAAACTCCACACCAAAATAGTGCCGACACAATAAAAATAATTATGATATTAATAATGCATGTTGATCTGGTTATACCCAAGTAATGAAAATAATTGCATGGTTAATTTTACTTTCTAATTGGTGTTAGATTGCTAATCAAATCGTTGAATTTGTAACATATCATCGTCTTGACATGGTACAAAAATTATGCACACACTAAGAAGTGAGAAAATAACTAGCAGTGACACAAGAAATTTTTACATGAAAAACCCAGAGTTTGGCTCAGCTAAAGAGTTCCACTATAAAAAGATGATTACAGTTGTAACCATTTGTCCCACAAGCAGGAAAGGGTACAAGGTTTCCTAAGTTACAACGTCGACCTGCGGATAAAATTATTGTAAGGAACAAGCATCAATCAATAACGGTCGAAGATGACCTACAGATGGTGGTGGACGGCGGTCGGCAGAGGTCAGAAGTAGTCGACAACATCTGAGTGATGCTAGACTTCGGCTCCTCAAAGTTTTAAGCTCTTCTTCAAGCCTCATGCTCGTTTTTTTAAAGAGGGGGGTAGGGCTTTATTTATAGAGTTCCATGTGCAATTAATGCAGGAATATGAACCATTTAGATTAGACGTTCATAAAAGCTTTCTTGGGTGAACATTTGAGTGTCTTAATGATGTTAGAATTGAGCGATTTTGAGCTCGTTGGATTTGACCTGTCGATATGCTCGATTGGACTATAAGCTTGTCAGATTCAACATTCGCTTGATCTTTCAAATATGCTTATAATGATTCCAAAAGTGATTTAATGGCTTTATCTGAGGTTGTTTTACTTGTATTAAGCAAGTTTTGATATCATTGGGTTTGTCTCATCGAATCTGTCAATTTGACTATATGTTTGCTGAAAGCAGAGTTCTGGATGACTTTTGATTAAAATTTTAATGTTTCTTGCTCAAAAGATTATCTCGAAATTCGTGTTTTGAATCGAGATTTATGTTAAATGAAAAAAAATATGTTGACATTATATCATTCATAATTACTTTAATGTGTAAATTAACCTTATTGTTGCTTGACCTTATATTTATTTGTTCACATTTTGTGATTAATATATATCATTTCTTTTATAGCTTCATGCGACAAATCTAATTCTTTCTATAATTGTTTATAACTAATTATGGACATTTTGGAGTTATGTTATTGTTTTTTAATTGTGATGCAAAAACTATAACTAATATTATAAAATTTTGTCGGTATTAAACCCTTTTGTTATAACTAGTTGGACCGATGGATTCTTCAGAGAAATCAGTGGTTTTCATGGGATCGATGCCCACCTGTTAAATGATTTATGCATTTATCTGCATAAAAAACTCATGATGTTGTGGCATGTAAATACCAACATAAAAGTGCATGTGTTTGAGTTTTTTCTATTCTTGATCACAAGCATATGATAATCTTTGCAAGTTCAGTTGTACACATAGTAAATCGTCTCCGTTTATTGATCATACCGTATGCACATTTTTCTGTCATTTATGCATTAATGAATAGAGTTATTTACTGAGTTTGATTTTTAAACTCACCCGTGATATTTTTATATAACAAGTTTCACCCAATCACTTTTCTAACTGTGTCCATCAGAGCATAATTTCTAGATTTAGACTTATTTTTGATGTTTTATGTTTCATATTAATCATTATATCTTTATTTCTGGGTCTGGGTAATTGTTCCTTATTTTTAGTTTAGTTTCTTTCAAATATTATATTTTCTTTCAGTTATATCCTCAATACTTTATATTTATGAAAAAAATAAAGTTTTTTTTTCTGTTATTGTTCGCATAAATTTTTCTTTTGAGAATAAAAAATAAATTAAAATTTTTCAACATGCCTTGTATTATTTGTGTGTACAGACTTTCGGGTCCGGAGTGTGACAAACCTATACGTATAATCACCAATTCATAATGAATAATTTAAACTAGCTTAGACCTCATAACACACACACACACAAGGGCTGTAATCGAGTCGAGCTTGAGCGAGCTCAGGCTGGGCTCGTGTTCGACTCATTCGAAATAGCTCGTGTTTAAAATCAGCGCGTGTTCAAAATCGGCTCGTGAACAATATGTTCGTGTTCGACTCAATTTAAATATTCGCATTCGTGTTCGACTCGAAATTGGCTAGAAAAAAATAAATTGAAAAGAATATATGTAGTGTGGGATTCGAACCTCGACCAAATCTATATAAAAGAAAGCACTAATCACATTGCTACACGAGATGTTATGATTTAAACTTAGATATAAATATATATAATATATTATTATATAAATGATATATGTAATATATTGTTATATAAAAAGTTATATAATTTTTTTTCGAGCCATTTTGAGCAGAACACGAGCGAACAAACTGTTGTTCGTGTTCGGCTCGTTTACATTTCGAGCTTAAAAATTTGTTTGTGTTCGGCTCGCTTAGCGAACGAGCCGGACACAAGCTAATTAACAAGCCGAACATGAGTTGTTCGCAAACAAAGAGTTTTTTTGACAGCTCTAGACACAATATATATATATATATATATATATATATATATATATATATATATATGGATTTTCATGAAAAAGGTTCTACTCTTTCTACCGTAATTTTTATTATCCAAGTTCGCATTGAATTTTTTATGAAATTATCGAGCTCCGAAACGAGCGGATCATGAATTGTCCCGGAGAAAAGAAAATATTTTAGTTCCAATGGTGAGACGCCACGTGTCAAGTAAGACTCATAAATCTGACCAATCCCAATATATTACGGCGGACCCAATTGACACGCAACACCCCATCATTAAACTCAGTCGTAAATTAAGTCCCAAATCTGAATGTAATATTTGCTCCAAGAAGGATATTCATTTCAATTAATAAATTATTCAGATTTCCATGTTATTACTATTCAAGGTAGGATAAAAAATCTATAAATTTGTTTCTCCCGGCGGCTTTGGCTTTTCAATCAGTATTCAGCGAGCAAGGAAGCATGCACCCACTCGCCCGACCCTTTCAAATCTCCGCCATTTCAAAGCTGGCAGCCCCATCCATTTCTCCTCTCCTGCTCCGATCTTTCGCGCAGCCCTTCTCTACCTCCGGCTCTCTTCGCTGTGCTTCTTCGAGCTCAGAAGGCGATGCCATCTCCGCAACCGAGCCCGTCAATCACGTTAACTTCTCTACGAAGGTCAGTCTCGAGGCCCTAATCCTGTATATTCCTCATCGCGGTGTACATTTTGACAGGAACGAAAAAATTATCCGGAATAAAACATATTTTAATTCCTTTCGATGCAAAAACGGTTGTTATTGCCTCGTTGAGCCGCAACTGATACGCTAATACGACCTGAAAGCAATACGCACATAAAAGTATCTTTGCAGCAGATGAAAACTCTAGAAAACATAACTACCCAAGCCTCCTCATAAATTCAACCGGGTCCTGTATCCTTCCTCAAAGTTAGGCTAGGCAGCCCTTTAGCCATCTTATCTCCTGTATGGCCTTGGAAATCAGGATAGGAATGCTTTGGTTTTTGATAAATATGTTAATGGAGCTGCAAATAAAGCATGTTTAGCAATGAAGCGATGATAGTAACTCATCAAACCATGCTGTACATATGTATATAGCTTATATGTATATATTTATGCATGGATACATACATACATACATACATACATTCATGCTTACTTACATATGTGATACATAAATAACATATGTACATCATATATGCATTTTTTAATGGTATATACATGTAAGCATCTTACACACATACATTAAATCACAATACAAACACATTGTATAGACCATACACACACACATACAAATACATATATATGTATGTATGCATGTGATGCATGCATTCATATATGTGATGTATATATTATATATATGTATTGTATATGATTATGTATGTATGTATAAATAGTGCGCGCTTATGTGTTTGTGTGATGATGATAAATATTTTCGGTGCAAGCCATGTATACATGACTCATATTTTTTTTGATTTACCTTTACCACATCGGCTTGTGCAATGTGTTCAATATATTCTACTTTAGTTGACTACTCAAATTTACATATTGCTAGTTGCATTGTAATTATTGCTTAACGTATGTCAAATTTCATACACAAAACCATGATATCATCAAAGAAAACAACACCAAACTTTCTTAGACAGCTCAAAATACCTGATTTGTTATTGTACGAAAGTTTGAAGGTGCTTTTATCAAACCAAAGGGCATTAACTCAAAATCCAAAGTGTCTATTGTGAGTTCAAAATGTTGGTTTGAGTATGTATTTGTTGTGCATACGAATTTGATGACATCCTAACCATAGATCCAATGTAGAAATGATAATAGCACCTTCTAATTCATGATGCAGTGAATGAATTGAAAACTCTTCTTGATGCGGGCATGCAGTGAGAGGCGTGGGAGCCCCGTTCACATTCTTATGCATGGACTGATTGGTTTATGCAGGGGAGAGACAACTGGCTCCTTTCTAAGGTTTTGGAGCCTCCTTTCAACAACGGGGCCAAATCCTAATTATCTAGGGTTTATATATTTGTTTTTTATAGGTTTTCTATTTTTACTTGGTTTTTTGTCAAGATAGCCGCCAGCGTCCCAGTTACTCCCTTCTAAGGCTATATCCAAAGGCGTGAAGGTGCTCTGACAGTAACTCATCTTGATGTGGTGGGTATTTTCTATTTCCATACTCTCTGCAACCTTTTCTCTGGTACCCCATTCCTTGTTGCAGTCGCCCGAACAACAACCTTGTTTTTTGTCCCGTAGCGCATCCTTGCTCTCAACCACCACTCCCTTTGTTGCCAACACCCAAAACAACACTTTCGGTTATTCTTTTTGCAGTCAAACCCACTTTCTTACAATCGCCTGGAATAACACGTGGTTGACTCCTCACTGCTGTTTTTCCACTGATATCAACCAGCTAACTCTACTTTTCCTACTACAGCCAATCACAATTTCCTCTTCATCCTTCTATAGCCATCCAATGCCTCACCACCCTCCTGTTGCTGCCCACTTACCAAAACAGACCATCACCTTTGGATACAGTTTAGTTGTGTTTGTCGTTATATTTTCCTTTCAAGTCTGTTTGGTTGTAATCACATATTTGTTTTTGATGATAATATTTGATTTTTTATTGTTATCTGGTTAACTTCAGTATTATTTGGTATCAGAGCTAGTCTAACCCTAATTTTATCTTAGGGTTTCTAGCATCCAACAAAACTCAGCTCTATTTCCACCCAACACCCTTCCCTTTGCTGATTTTCCCAAACCGATCATCCAAAAAATTTTCTTTCCCACCCTAATCACCCCTACACACCCTTTCACCTCTCCAACCCAAACCCTAATCATGCCACCGAGAAAACAAATGTTCGACGCCGATAAGGAGTTTACCATAGAAGAGACACTACGACAATTTCGCCAAGTGCTAAGACTCAATGACATTGAGAAATGAAACCATGAATAGGTCACTGTCGAGCGTGATAGGGAGCTCCGACAATGAGAGAGAGAGGGAGGGGAACACTTGAATACATTTCGTAGGGATGATACCACCGGAGAAAAAAACATATCATGACGCTTTGAGATACAGTATCAGGGAGGCCGAGAGATGAAATACTCATTCGAGGATACAAAAATGAAGTGCCTGTTAAAGGATATAAAAACGGAGGGCCCGTTGGAGGATACAAAGAGTCAAGAGTGAAGTCGACATCCCAAATTTCGAGGGTAGGATGAATCTGGATGACTTCATAAGAGTGATTGCAGATCGTCGATAGGGTCATAGAATATAAGGTGTCGGATGACCGAAAAATGAAACTTATTGCTATCAAGCTAAAAAAGAGTTCCTCATTATATTGGGAGAACCCGAAGATGGAGAGCAATAGAGAGGGCAAAACGAGATTACTATATGGGAAAAGATAAAGTGAGAGTTGCAACTAAAATACCTACGCCCACACTATCTTCATGAACTTTTTGCGAGGCTTCACTACCAGCAACAAAGAAACCTATCATTGGAGGAGTACACAATGGAGTTTTTGTAATTCAAGTTGAAATGTGATCTAACAGAGCCATAGGAGCACATGATAGCCAAATACTTGGAAGATTTGAAGCCGTCCATCAATTTCGTGGTCTAGCTACAACTGTACTAGTCTTTGGGTGACATCCATACCTTTGACACTGAAGGTGGAGAGACAACAAAAGCAGTACAGACACCAACCGTCATTTAGACAACGACCCACAGTTAGAGACATCGGTAGAAGCTCGCCTCAGGGAGTTGAGAAGATTGGTATGGAGAGAGATAGAGCCACTCAACATGAGAAGCCCGCCGCGCCCCGCCCCACCCCCCCCCCCTCCCCCAAATGCTTTAAATGCCATGAATATGGGCACACAGCCTCCAGTTGACCAACGAGCCAAATTGTGTCCTTCACCGAGCAGAGTGTAATGGAGAAAGTGTGCGACAAAGAGACAACTAAGGAGAAGGGTGAGAAGTACCAACTTCCACTAGATGATGACGAGATGCTTGTGGTTTGACGAGTCATTCAAACTGACGCATCGAGTGAGCAACAACGGCTTGCACTGTAAAGGAAAGATATGTAGTCTCATCATTGATGGAGGTACACAAATAGTGGACAAATTGAGCTTATCGACTCAGACACATTCTCAATTGTATTCCTTGTTGTGGTTGAAGAAGGAGAATAATGTCAACATTGCCATCAAGCGTTTCATGAAGTTTTCGATGGAAACTCAGTTTCAGGATCAGGTTTGGTGTGATGGAGTGCTGATGGATGCCTGTAGGTTTATGCAATCTTTGTTTTAAACCGAAAAACCGAACCAAACCGAGTTAATTTGGTTGTTAAAGTTTGGTTTTCTGTTTACGGTTCGGTTTTACTTTTATTTAACTGAATAAACCGAAAACCAAATTTTATTGGTAAATCTTTTTTTGAAATGTTTTTGAATTAAATTTTGGATTTCGGTTGAAGTCGGTTGTCCAATTTGAAAACCGAACCGATTGAATACTCACTCCTAGTGCCTGTCACATTTTGTTGGGGAGATTGTGGCAACTTGATCGCCAAACTCAAAATGACCGTACATGAACATATATTCTTTCATCAAAGGTGGAAAACACATCATCCTTTTACCCTCTATGAAGTTCGTGAATACAGGTGCCCTCACTAGCAGAGAAGCATCATAAGGATCATTCTTGGTGATGACAGGGGATTGCGAGACAGGAAAGCCGGTTGCAGACGTAAGATAGCCGGTATAGAGAGAGTTTTGGGGCATCCGGTTCGATAGTACAACAATGACTGCCACCGTATAGGGAGATTCAAACTACTCTCACTTCAAGTTAGGTTTAGCCGACCTTGGGCTACTTTTGGAGGATTCAACAAAGTATACTTAGCAAAAATGCTCAATTTAGTTCCGCAATGTACTCCGGAAGATTGGACCAATATAGATTGTTGCTCGCAAGTGGGGAAGGTTTCTCTGGTGTTTTGGGAGAAAACACAACCAATAGTGGGATCCCGATGCTCATATCAACATAGTCGAAGGCCCTACAAACTTGGGAGGTTACAATAACTCTGCCACCTTCAACATGCTTGGTCTGACTTCATACTACGAGGAGACTGAAGCCTTGACAGATGAAGTTGAAGCTCCTCCGACCTTGAGAGACTGATGCAGGCACACAATGAGAGGCGCGAGAGCCTTGTCTGCATTTGTTATGCCTGGACCGATCAGTCCAAACATGATAGAGCTGATCGAATTCTTTCCAAGGTTTTGGCACCACCTTCTAATAGCGAGACCCAATCTTAATTATTTATGGCTTATCTATTTTCGTCCTTTGTTTTAGATTTTAAGTTTTTGCCTAGTTTTTTGTCAGGAAAGCTGTAAGCGTTTCAATTTCTCCCTTCTAGGGCTGTATTCAAATGTGAGAAAGTGCTCCGATTGTAACTCATCATGAGGTGGTTTGTATCTTTTGTTTCTATACTCCTTGCAATCCTTCCTCCTACAGCTAATTTCCCTTTCCTTGCTAAAGTCGCTCGGGACAACAACCTTGTTGTCTTTTTTCTGCAGATCAACCACCCAACCACCTATTCTCTCATTTCAGCCGTTTGTCCTCACTTCCACCCGCCCTCCCCTGCTGTCACTTCCTGGAACAACACTTTCGGCTATTTTTCCCGCAGTCCAACCCACTTCCTTACAATCACTTGGAATAGCAAGTGGCTTTTTCCTTGCTTCTATTTTTCAATTGAATTCAACCAACCAAACTCCAATTTTTCCCCACAAAGGAGATCCGCAACTTCCCCCTCCTCTCTTACAGCCATCCACTGCCTCACCATCATCTTACCGTCCATCACCAAATATGACTACCACCCTTGGATAACAATTTAGTTGTATTTGTTTGTGTTTGTCATATTTTCCTTTGAAGTATGTTTGGTTGTAATCACATATTTGCTTTTAGTAATAATATTTGCATTTTCATTGTTATTTGGTTAACTCAGGCATCACTTCTTTAAGTTTTATGGCATTCAAAGCATGATAGTTCACATAAAAATGCTAACTATTAGTTTTGTTCAATTTTTTGGCCTAAAATTGGTTTGTAAACATTTTCTTTTTAATAGCTATTCGCAAATAATTGGTTTTGTTCTATGTTAATTTTGTTTTGAGACCCTATAAGGGTTGTCAATAGCGGCACACATATCAATGGATTGAAACACTTGAATATCAAATAAAGTGATATGCCGGTCCTCCCTTGACTGGTCTGACCTTGGTCGGCCCAACCAAACCAGGGTGCAACCGGCCCCCATGTGCGACCCATGAAGCTACTAATTACATGCACGAGGAGAGGAAAGGGAGGTTTTGGGGGGTAAGTTTGAATATATATTGGGTAGTATTTATTAAGGCTAATTTGCTAGGGTTGGTTGAGAGACGATCTACCCCTCGATATGTATATCAACATTGTATCTTCTTGTTCTGCTTGTAAATAAGTAAAATTAGCCATAATATGGGTTTTCCCACTTATCTTGTGTCATTTATTGGCTGATTTTGGTTCCCGTGCATATCAATTCAACCAGTAATCTTTCATCTGGGACTCTTTCTCTGTCTCCTAGATCTCATGGATATTCTCTTTTGTCCTTGTCATAGAGTTATTATTATAACTTTTTGTATCTTTGGCTCCTGTAATTTGGACATCAACATGCATATCCATTGCAGGGTTTTAACTGTAAATCTTAATTACATAATCTTGTACGAATGTTTTCATTGATGATCACCTTGGAGGTGATTTACTTGGAAATATGTTTACAACATTACGATATTTAAATGATTTGTTAGATTTTTTTGAATTACACTATTAACTCATGATGTTGCGGTGCCTTATTTTATGGAGTAGTTGAATACCTTGTTGTTAAAGTTCTTGGCCTTTTTTTTGTTATACATTCGGTATCCTGATCCTCTGCTGCTCCTAAAAGTTCTAGGTTTCAATTTTCATTTTGTTTGATTATTCTAAATTTTTTTGTATTTTTATAATTTTAATTATTCGTAAACTTGTTGTTGCTTTGATCGTTTCTTCCAGGGTTCCTTGAAATCTGGACTATATATTGTCGCAACACCCATTGGTAATCTTGAGGATATCACATTGCGGTATGTAATGATGATCGGCAATTGTAATCTTAAGTAAGCAGTTCATTTACCATTTAAGTTCAAATAGATGCTCTTCGTTTATTTACAACATTAAAATAATCTTGCTTGCTTTTTATTTACCTGTTTTAATAAACTAGTTCAAGATGTACATGCACAAATTATGTGCATATTCACAAACTTTTTCACCATTCAATTTCAGCAAATAGAAATTACTTTTGTTTGCATAAAGAAGAGTCTAATATAACATTGAGTTGCATTTATATCATATTTGCAATTTTTTTTCTCATCAGTAATTGAACCAAAATCACATTCGCTTTTAGTAAACTTTAACTAAATGCTTTCATATATAATTGAGTAGAACTTAAGAGATTCTTACCTTTTATAAAAAATAAATATTTAACTTGTGAATGCATCAAATTTGAGTGTTTCATCTTCTTAAACAACCACCACCCACAATCATCATCATAATTATCATTGTAGTTTTTGTTGTCGTCAAACTTAAGTTGTAGCTAACCATCTAAAATATATTTATTGTTAACTTTAGAAGATAAAATGAGCATATTCATAGAAGAAAACATTTCAAGATTAAAAATTGTAGCAATGCCTCAATTCTTAGATTGAATTGTAACTCATGAATAAATTTTAAAAAGGAGCTATTATACGATATATTTTTTGGAGCTAGATGTAATTAATTTAGCACAGAAGTATCTTCCATATATTTTCCTTTTTCTGTTGGTGTACACCATGCATGGTCTCCAGGAGGATGTAACTTGGTGTATGCTTTTTGCTGGTGATATCTTTCTCGTGGATAAGACTAGAGAAAAAGCTCAGGAAAAATATGAATTATGGAGGCCTACCTTGGAGTCTAAAGACCTTCGTTTGAGTATAACTAAAACTGAATACATGGAATGTAATTTTAGTAGTAGTAGCTCTGGTGACAGAAATGTATCTATAGGTGATCAAATTATTAAAAGATGTGAAAGCTTTAGATATCTCGGGTCCATTGCTCAAAGTGATGGTGATATTGATGGAGATATTATTAGTAGAATTCAAGTTGGTTGGTTAGAGTGGAGGAATGCTTTGGGCCTATTGTGTGATAGAGAAGTGCCGCTTAGAAGCCGCAGAAAATTTTATAAGATGGTGGTGAGACCTGCAATGTTCTATTGCGCTGAATGTTGGCCTTTAAAGGAGAAGCATAAAACTAAGTGTTGCCGAGATGAGAATGATTAGGTGGATGAGTGGCTTTACACTTAGAGACAAAATGCGAAATGAATATATCCGTGGTAGGATTGGTGTAGCTCCAGTGACAGACAAAATTAGAGAGAGTCGTCTTAGATGGTTTGGTCACATTAAACGTCAACCATCCGATGATCTGATTAGAAAAGTATTATGTTAAGAAAGACAGAGGTAGACCTAGGATGACTTGGGCATATTATATAAAAAACGATCTTAATTTATTCGATCTTAATTTATTAGAATTAAATTAGAATTAAATGAAAATATGACACTAAATAGGACACAATGGATAAAAATGATTCATTTAATCGATCCCACTTAGAGGGATAAAGGTTTTGTTGTTGTCGTAGAAGTATCTTTAAATTTTTGTTCTTGATTTCTTCTGGCCTTACCATTGGGCTTGGACACTATTCAAAAGTTGAAACATGAAGTGTAGAGCTTAAGATCAACTTTAATACTTGATTACTCATTTTGATCAATAGTGACTTTCATTGAGCACTGCATTTAACTGGTTATAGATGGAAATTTTATATTAAAAGGCCATTTGGTTTACTAAAAAAGCAAATGCACAATAAATTTAGGGGCTTTCAAACTTTATTTGTCGGATTGGATGAAAGAAGAACCTAGATGTACTAGGAATTCACCATTTTGTTCATTTTCAATTTAGAATTTGTTTAATTAAAATGCTTTGGACAAGAGGCAACGACAACCATATGTTGTCACCCATCTTCAGCTGTTGTTGCGGAAAACGCCGTATTTGTCGTTGCTAGCTGCTATTGGTTTGTCGTCTACCTGTTGCCGCCCTTGCCCTATCCTGCCCTCATTGGCCACTTCTTTTTGATAGCCACCATTGCTTGCCATCACAGCTACTTGGCCATTGAGTTTTACACTGAATTTATTTTACTTATGTTTGAACAAAAAAATGATGATCTTTTGCATTTGCTGTTAAAAAAAAAAAAAAAAAAAAAAATTGTTTAAATATTTTAATTAAATTAAATTTATTTTACGCTATGTCTAAAATACTCTAAATTCTAAATAAGTGCGACCAACTGGCCTTCGAGTATTTTTAAAATATTTGATTACGTTGAATTATGATTGCACAACCTCTTTTGCTACCTTATTTAGTAGAGAATTAATGCCTGATCATTACTTATGTTAGTTTCAATGATTAACATGGGATATTATGTTATTTTTATATAGTTTGAATCCACTATTAAAATTATTTATCCCATCGAATTTCTAGCTTATAAGAGATATTATGATTGTTTTTCTTGAAATGTGCGAGTTTTGGATGAATCATAGGAGACGCACATGATGTAAATTAAAATTTTTCGTTACTTATTAATTATTTATGAAGTTGGTTTGAAGCTCTATAATTTATTTTGATGATTTAAATTATGGACATTTTCATGCTAATGATCATGATGTTATAAAACCGTAGTATATAATTTATGACAATCTAGATGACTAACTATATATTTAGTCAATATTGATTAATAAAATTCAAGATGAATATTGGTAAAAAATATGTTTGATTGGATTGCCCGTTTCTTCCACGTCTCATGGTTGATTGATGGGGGTCAAATGGGGCCTAATGTTCTCTCCTAGGGCTGTCAATTTGGCTCGCTGTTCGCGAACAGCTCGTGTTAGACCTTTTCTTAACGAACAAGCCGAACACGAACAAATTTGTAAGCTCGAAATGTAAACGAGCCAAACATGAACAACAATTTGTTCGCTCGTCGTCAGCTCAAATTGGCTCGAAAATAAATAAATAAATAAATACATAATAAATATTCATAAAATTAAATATCATAAATTATAATTCATTAAAATTTTTAAAAAATAAATTATCATATTTTATAAAATTAAACCTATTATAATATACAACAAATTATTAATAATAATATATTAATATTACTTATATAAATATTATATATTTATATAATAATATAATATAAAATGTATAATTACAATATATCTAAAAACCCCTAACCGTTCTCCCCATTCGCCTCTCGAAATTTCTCGGGTCCGGCTGTCTCTCTCATTTCCTCTTCTGACTCTTCTCAATCTTCTCTGATCTTTAAAAACCCTTTCGACCTCGACAGCTTAAGGGTTTGCCGTCAGCATTCTTCTGCTAATATCTATTTCTATTCTCCTCGAATAGTCACTGTTGGCTCGATTGCTCGGTATTTTTGCTTGGTTGATCGATATTCTTGCTTGGTTCATTGGTTGTTTGTTTGGATACCTAAGTGTTATCTCTGAGTATCTTTTCTCTATTATTTCATGTTTATCTTCGGGTTCGCCTTTTATCTTAAATTTTCTTAAATTTCTTTTAGATTTATCTAGATTTTTTAAGTGAAAACTAGCTTTGTAGGGTTTTGGCAACAAAATCTCGCATATTGCATTTATATATGTATTTTTTTATGGATGAGATCTCATATAAGGGTTTTGTTATGAAATTTAGTTCGGCAATTGTGCATTTGTGCGTTGATTTGTATAGCTTTAGGCGTATGTACTATGGTTCGACTATTGCCTTTAGATCATAATTTTTTCTTTTCTTATGGATGACTTTGTGAAGACTGAAGAACACAATGTTTTTTTCATTTAGTTTTTCAAAACAATAACATCTCTTTATCTAAAGTTTTCTTGAACTTCAGTTTCACTTTGGTGGTTTTGGGATGTTCTGGATGTTTTTTTTAGGGGACTGTATTATTTTGGCAGATAATAATATAGTTTGTATTAATTCGAGATTTTCTTTAGACATTATGCATCATATCTGCTCCGTTGTGGTTTTATTAAGAGCTTGTCAAGCTTGATCTACTGGTATATTGTTAAGTATGTGAAGAAGTTCAGAGAAGAATGAAACTATGCTTGGCCCGAAACACAAGCCATATTTGGAAACAAAGAGCTCATAGCGGGGAACAAGTGTTTGATGCTTGATTCTTGTAATTTGTAAAAATGATGAATAAGTACATAATTTATTTTTAGGGTTCTTATTTTGTTGATTTTTTGTAAAATAATATTAATTTTTTTATTGCATTAATTTTTGTCATCAATTTGCTCTATCTTAAATTGTCTTCAATTATTAAAATAATATCAATTTTTAGGGTTTTTATTTTGTCTTAAATTGTCTTCAATTTGCGGTGTCTTCAGTTTAACTGTTTTTTTTAATCAATTTTTTTTAGTTAACAAATATCTTGGGCTTTTGTCTCAAATTTGCTCTTGAAAACTTTTACATAAAATTCTTATTTTATATTAAAAAATTAAATATTATTTTAATAATTTTATATTATAACGAGACAATTTCGAGCCGAACACGAGCCGAACACGAACAAGCTATTTCGAACACGAGCTAATTAAACACGAGCACACTGTTCGCGAGCCATTTCGAACACGAGCCGACCTTGAGCACGCTCAGGCTCGGCTCGTTTACAGCCCTATTCTCCCCTTCTAGATTTAGCCATCACACCTCAGTTCATTTGGTAATTGCTTCGGTTCACAGGATATAGAGTCGACTGAAAATATTTATTTAATGTTTTAGTACTTAGATTTATATTAATATATTAGTAATTGTATGATTAAAATTCCAGCATCTCATATATTACTTGAAGAATTCCCCATTGCATATCACAGAAAGTGGTTTTGCTATAATGAATGAACACTGCATTACTCGGTGAAATGTAGCATTAATTGATACTTTAGGAAAATAATTTAATAATTACTTATATCTACACACACACACATACCTAATAAAACATCGAACTTTGTAAAATTATTCTTGATGTTTTTGAATGTTTTTGGGAAATGCTAAAATTGGGATAAGACTTTTAAGAGAAATTTTGATTTACCTTTTTGTATTTTTGGTTATTTCATTTTATACTTGTCAAAACGAGAAGGAAATAAAAAACAGTTACTAAATGAGAAATAATTTTCAACTTTTTTGTGGCACACGTTCTACGAGTTCAAATGGTGAAATACATTTAAAAGCCTGCATAAATTTTTGGTTAAAATGAGAGGTAAGTTTTAAAACATCAAACTTGCTTAATGTTTGGAAGATGCGAAGTACTGCAAAGAAAATTTGATGTAAAGAAAGAAAGTGCTCAGAACTTGGGACTGCCTTGGGAGTGTTATTTAAACACACATAATTACGAAACTCAACTAAGTAAAACCACAACCTAATTTCATAGTATGAGACATTAATTTTTAAACTTCATCTTTTTGTTGATCTTCATTACTTGATACTTTGGTTGACCTCTGCTCTTTAATTGTTGTTACCAGTTTTTTGCATTATGATCAGCTTTGCTTAGTTAATACGATGCAGTGCACTGCGCATCCTTAAATCTGCAGATGTGATACTCTCAGAAGATACAAGGCATTCCAACACTACAATATTGATACCCCTCTTGTTAGTTGTGCCGTGCTTGCAAGCCTTAACCTAGTTGGAAATTCTTAAACAAAAGACTTAGCAAATTATATTCCTGAAGTTACTCTCCATGTTGATCTTATTGCAGTTTAGTTACCACAAATTCAATGAATCTCAACGTGAAAAAACAATTTTAAGGAGACTCCGAGAAGGACAAGCCCTTGCATTAATTAGTGACGCTGGGACTCCACTCGTCAGTGATCCTGGCTTGGAACTCGTAGGTTTATGTTTTCAAAAGCATCATTTTTTTTTTATTATCTAATGTTATACTTACCCTCTCTCCCTCTCTCTATCTCTTTATCTATCTCTTGTCATTTATATCAGTTATTAAATATCTTAATAATTGAAAGTAGGGCACGAGATTAGTTATAAATTGATATGTTCTAGATTGGTTCCATATTAGAAGGCAACAATACTGGTTGCATGGTGAGTTCCTGATAGAAAGCTTGTGAGGAGTTAGTTTAAAGAAGATCATTGGTTGGGTTGAAACTTGTGATCCATATTCTGGGGACCAAAGAGTATATATGAGCTAGGGCTCTTTTGTTTCTCTCTCGTTATATGAATATAGATATAGACACACACACATACACATATATATAGAGAGAGCTATAATTGAGCTAAATAGTAGCTTAAAACAATTTCATAGTTTATATTGATGTTTAATCTTCATTCTTTTCTTCATAATAAGAAGTAACTTTTCCACGGTAGTTGTCAATTCAAAAATAAGCTTGGGAGAGAATATTTAACAAGATGAACTTTTTTGTCTTGTTTATTGAAAAAACTACTAATTTTTTTTTCCTGCCAACAATTTAACATAATTACAAGAAAGAACATGTCCCAATGAATTTGAATCTTTTCTTAATATTTTTGTTCCTTCAAAATGAGAAGACCTCTTCAATGTTTTCCGCAGAAGCATTGGCTTCCAAGAGAGAATAAAGTCCTCCAAGTACTTGAGAAAAAAGCCCCAACTAATAAATATATGCAAATCATTTACATATCTCCAGTTGAAAATTGCACTTCTCTAAAGTTGTAGATGTAGCTATACCTGATGTGAAAAAACGACGACAATAAAGCAAAAAATGGAACGAGAAAAAAATTGCATGCAGAAAAATACCATGATGACACAAAGATTTACGTGATTCGGCAAATTAGTCTACGTCCACGGAGCTGCAGAGGATTTTATTTTTTCGAGGACCTATACCGTCGAGCGCCTCACGTTTACAATAAAATGTCTATTTCCTTCTCTCCCTTCCTCTCTCTCTTCCTCTAGTTCTCGCTTAGAGGAGTTGGCTTGGCCTTTGACTTGCTTTTACTTATGACAAGCCATAAGAGACTATTTATAAAATTTAGGAGAGCGATAAGTGGGAGGTATGTGAGCGGTAGGTGAGAAGGTATGTGAGCGGTAGGTGGGAAGGTATGTGAGCTGTAGGTATTCTTAATTAGGAAGCTAATTAAATTGCGGTGGATCGGATCTCTATATTACCTAACAATTCTCCCACTTGGAGACTAGGACACTGACTGCATCACCTACTGACTATATCATCTACTAGCTGTACCGATTTTTTCCTCAAACATGATATCCTTCACCTCTGCAACTTAAAGCCCCTGCCTTCATGCCAGAAGTCCAGCTGAAGTCGAGCACAACTTCAACTTCTCACAGTAACACTCTTAGTTGACATATTACCGTCAACGCAACCTTGTACCACCAAGCTCTTTCTTGGGTTACTCCTGTATCTGCTTACAACTTTCACTGCATGAGCAATATCCCGCCCCTGCTGAAAGCTCTTTTCAACAAGTTCAACCTTGTACCTTTTACTGCCACCAAACACAGTCTTCACCCGGTACACCCACTTGTTGTGCAATGTTTTCTTATTTGGTGGAAGTTCTGCCAGCTCCTAAGTCGGATTCCCTGACAGGGAATCCGTCTTCTCCTTCTTTGTCAGCTCCCACTTACTCTAATTCTTATATTACAAGATTTCTTCATAGATTTGTGGTTATCCACCATTTGTCTGTATAAGGTCCGATTTTCTTACTTTTGACACTCTGCCACTGTTCAGAAAACTGACCTTCTTCTGCTTCCCCATAATGCACCTCTGAGTCATGTGCTTTCGCCTGAGTAAACATGTAGTCATATAGAATGTGTCAGTTTTCTTACCTTGATCTAGTACTAATGCTTCTTTGGTAACCTTCCAGGTGCTATTTGAGAACACCACCAAACGACCACACTCATTGAGCTGCCCAACATAGATGAGGTTTTTCTTCAACTTAGGAACGTGTCTGACCTTTTGTAAAGTTCATTTTCTATTGTTAAGGAGTGCAATATCAACGTCTCCCATCCCCATCATGCTTAGAGCTTTTCCATCAGTCAGATGTACCTTCCCAAAGTCATCTGCAATATTGTTTCGCATCAACTCCCGACGAGAAGATGTATGGAAGGAAGCCCCTGAATCCAATATTCAATCATCAATAGAACTGTGAACTGTCAGCAGTAGCACATCCTGTATTTCTTCAGTTACAACATTAGCGTCATTATTCTCTTTCTTTTTAGGATTCTTACAGTTCCTTTTTTATGTGGCTAGTCTTGCCACAATTCCAACTGGTTGTCTGCTGACCAGATTTTAATTTTGATCTTCCTCTGTTTGAGTTCCTGTCATGTGATCTCCCTCTAGAATCAACATTCAACGCCGAATTTGAACACAAGGCCTCGCCAAAATTCTTCCTGCACACTTCATTAGCTAAAATCAAATTACGAATATCATCATATTTCATCTTGGATTTACCTGTATAAATGCTAACTGCCATCCTCATGACTTCCCAGCTATTTGACAATGAAGCCAACAATATCAGCGCACGTATCTCATCATCAAAATCAATTTTAACAGACGACAATTGCTTCGTGATAGTATTGAAATCAGTCAGGTGTTGAACAACAAAGACACATTTCGCCATCTTCAAGTTGAAAAACTTTTTTATCAAATGCACATTGTTATTCGCCGATGACTTTTATTACATGTTTGATAAAACCGCCATGAGATCTGCAGTAGTCCTCTCTTTGATGACGTTGTGGTCAACCGATCTCGACAGGGTTAATCGAATAACCCCCAAAACCTGTCGATCAAACATATTCCCTTTCGCCTCGTCCATCTTTTTCGATCATTTTCCGAGTAATGGAAGATAAAGTTTCTTCCCATAGAGGTAGTCCTCTATCTGCATCCTTCAGTAATCAAAATCTATGTCATTGAACTTCTCGATCTCTGATGCCATCACTTCGTCTCTGTCCATCATTCTTCCTTAGATTCGAACTTGACTCTGATATCAGTTGTGAAAAAATGACGACAATAAAGGGAAAAATGGAACGAGAAAAAATTGCACGCAGAAAAATATCAGAGCTACACAGAGATTTACGTGGTTCAACAAATTTGCTTACGTCCATGGAGCTGAGAGGATTTTATTTCTTCGAGGAATTACACCGTCGAATGCCTCGACGTTTACAAGAAAATCTCATCTCTATTTTCTTCTCTCTATTTTCTTCTCTCCCTTCCTCTCTTACTCTCTTAGAGGACTTGACTTGGCCTTTGACTTGCTTTTACTTATGACAAATCATAAGAGTATTTATAAAAACCAGAAGAGTCGTAAGTGGGAGGTAGGTGAGCGGTATGTGACATGTGGTAGGTAAGCGGTAGGTGAGAAGGTAGGTGAGCGGTAGGTGATATTCTTAATTAGGAAGCTAATTAAATTACGGTGGACCGGGGCTCCACATATACCATACTATAAAACTGAACTGAACATAGGGTTTTTCACATGTAAACGATCCAGCTGAAAATAACAATTTGCACGGGGATCTAACTTCTAAGATTCCAAATCCAGCTAACGGGTCATATGAATACTACCATTCAGAGAAAAATGTAGAATGAGTTTACTTATAAGAGGCTGTTAGGGGAAAGCATTCTTTTAGGAACATTATGATTGGACTTGTGTCATATTCGATTTATATCAGTATTCAGATTATTAGCATCTTTGACAAAACCAACGGGAATAATATCTTTTTTTTTAAATGTCAACCATGAGAGATAGTTAATTTGGAACTCACCAAGAAATTAATTTTTTAAGCAACATGCAAAAGCGAGGTTGGTTGAAGTTAGTGCCCTTGCCTTTCCTCAATTCGACAGAATCCCCATTTTGAACATTGCAGGAAATATTGAGGAAAGAAGTGAAAATAGTTTTTGGTTCATTTAATAAATACGGGGCAATGAGAGCCTTCTCTTTTCTAAAAATCAAGAGAAGAAAAGTTAGCAAGGCTTGCTTTTGATGATAGAGTCAACAAAATAATTGAACTATGCCGGAAGAGATTTTCAAATGCACTTAGAAACGAAGTAGATATTTATGCTGCAAAGATCACAAATGCTGAGCCTTCCCAATTTTTTTTTGGCATGCCCATGCTATTCCTAATAATCAAATTGAAGCTTCTTCCCTCACCATTGCCCTTAGACATATTATTTTGTTTTCTCCTGTCCACTTTATTGATTGCCCATTAGCACCCAAAAGAATGAGAAATTGTACAAGGAATGGAAGATAACATATTGTTGCCCAAAATCATGAGACCATCTTTGGTTGTTAATTTGATTTGATATAAAGAATGAGAAGCTATTTGCCTATTATGATCATGATTGAAAAGATTGAGCTTATGTATAAGAAACCAATAAATTATTATTTTTTTTTCAGGATTTTAATCTATTTAGGCAGTATTGAAAGTTGCCTACTCTATTAGTATTAGCTTGGGGAGTTCCAAAAATTGAAAATGGGCTGATGTTGATTATTTTCCACATTAATTGGTGAGCACCGGATGGTCATGGTAAGTGTTGGTTTATGGGTTGCAAGTCTCTATTTAATGTGGGTCAGCGAGTTTAAATCAATCCATGTTGGGTTAATGTTGTTGATGCTGATTTGGGTCATTATTCACAATTTGGTTCTCAAAATTGGCGCACCACATTTAGTTTTTAATTTAAATTCTGTTTAATTTTTGTTGCATGTTTTATCTTCTTTGAATTTTATAAAGAATATTATTTAACTAGACTAAAATCAAAGTAAAGCTAATCCGTTCATTGGTAGAATTAATAAGGACATAGAGGGAGTTGACGTCTATGGTCTTATGATAGTTTAGCCTAGGATCTTTAGGCTACACTAGAAGGAACTAAATCAATGTTTTAGATTCGATCTCATATGTCGGAGTAAGTGCTTGTTGAAAAAAGACTGGAATATAAAGAGCATATATGTATATATATATTAAAAAAAGCTCAAGGGCTGATATATTAAAGAGAAATGTACAGATAGGTTTGTATGGGTGGGCCTAAACACCCAGCCCACACGGTACAACACGCACAAAAAAATGTAAAAGATGGGTACATATAGAAATAAAAAAAAAACCCAAAAACCACCCGGGCACTGAAAAAGTGTGGGTCATCCCAATCTAGTTTTGCCTCTGGCTTTTGTTCTCGGTAGTGATCCAGTTAGCAGATTGGTAAGGTGCTGACCATTACCCGTAGTAACCAAAGTATCATCCATAAGACTCCTGAGCTCTAGTAGATCTCCATTATTCTTCTTCCTCCTGGAAGTGTAAACTTGTCATTCCTCTTCCGAAGAATCAGTCTGATGGGGTAGAGCTGAAGTAGAAGGAATACCAACAGTAGTACCCATAATAGGTTCTAGAATATGTGAAGTATGAGTTGCCTCTACACCGGATACTTCTTGAAGAAGTGTAGCTGCGAGGCTTTCCTGATCATCAGTCTGAACACTATCATTTATAGGTAATAGTCTAGCATTATTGTTTTCTATAAAGTTTGTAGGTGCCAACACCGCATCACTCGCAGTAACAATAACAATAGTGTCATGGGGGGTCCTCAGGGGCAACAAACACCTCCTATCTGGCAGTATCCTCCTCAGGTGGAACTAAAATGTCCACAGCAGTGGGGTTAGACCAATCCTTATTCACTTGAACCTTAGATTTCAAATTAGGGTTAAGCTTGTGGCATTTAGCAAGAATACGACCAAACATCTTACAGTTGGTACAATATGGGGATTTGTGCTTCATGACGATTTGTTGTCAATAACCATTATGGGTTGTGCCCTGTCAGACTTCAGTAACATCAAGTAAAGTAATATCCCTTTCCATAAGTATTCTGGCCACCGAGGGTCTGGTTAGATTGAAAGTAGGCAGATCTAGTTTCAAATGATCCCCAAGAATGACCCCAATAGAGTAGAGAACCTGATGGTAAAAAAAATGCAGCTTATAAACTAAACCATACCGGTACATTGAGAGTTTCATGATTTGAGTCGAAATTAGGAGGCCACTTGAGTAACTTCATTGATTTGCCTTCGATATTAAGATATTTCTTGGAGAAAATTTTGGTGTAGTCTTCAGTCACTGTTAGTTGGATCAACACATGTCTCTCATTCACGAGTCACACTTTCTACTTGCTTACTATCTTACTATCAACAACACTCTGATAACATTCATAGAAGGGTGTCCCAACTGAAATTTTCTAATAAGAGAAAACTTGAATTTTTCCGTCAGGGTAGAAATTTCTGATTCAGAAAAAAAAATTGCTTCTTTTCCACCTTTCCTACTTCACTTCTTAATAAAATGACAATGATCTCTACCCTCACGAGATTTCTTATAACTTGAGGGGAATACCACCCTGGACTTCACCTGAGGGTTACCCACCATATGGGCAAATGAGACTTTGTCCGGCTCAACCTAAGAAGAAGGAAACGCCATCAGAGGCTGTCGGTGTTAAACTGCTGCGAGATTGCTGAAAGACAGAGGAGTTGTCGGGCGCAGAAGCAGGAGCATCGCCGAAATAGAAGAAAACCAAATAGTCGGGCGTAGACGATGAAGCTGCGAGTGACAGAGGCGTGGAGTGATATCGAGCAGGAGCAGTGTAGCGATATCGAGGAAGACGACGACGCGAGCAGTGGAGCGATATTGTGATGCGAGCTGCGATAGGGTGCTGCGAACGTCGACGCCGACGTAGATGCAAACGCCAAACGGGGAGCGAGAGTCGACGATGCAAGGTCCTCTCCTTCCAGTGGTAGAATCAATTGCTACCGAAATCGCCATTGGAAGCCCTAGCGGAGCTCTCGACCGTAGCCGACAACGTATATAATTGATTTATATATATATAAATATATATATATATATATATATTAGAAAGCCTAATGGAGAATATATTAATAAAAAGAATAGTACAAATAGGTTGGATGAAATGGCCCAAATTGGCACCCTAACCACCAAGCACTCAATACACACATAGCAAATACATGTAAAACCCAAAAACCAAGATTAAAATGTAGACATAGAAAATTGTACGCCAAAAGTCTGCCAACACTCGCAAATTCAGTTAGCATGCGAAAGATCCAATTTAGTCTTGCCTCTGCCTCTGGTTCTAAGACGGGAGCCAACTAACAAATTGGTGGATGGGTGATTTTTTTTTGATAAATTTTTCGATGAAGTTTCTGAAAATACAATCCACCTTAGTGATCTTAGTATCATTAATAATGATAAAATATTTTATTTTTACCATCGTTTTAGTGAAAAAAAAAGTTGTGAAAAACAAGCTGTAATGACATCTTTTATCTTCTTCATAATGCTCATATTTTTCATCAGGTAAAGTCGTGTAATCGTGAGAACATTGCTGTTTATCCTATTCCTGGACCTTCAGCACTGGTTGCTGCTCTTTCTACTTGTGGGCTTTCAACTAATGAATTCACATTTGGTAACCCGGGTTGCTTGTTTCTATTACGTAAGAACTCATACAATCTTTACGAGGACATGTTGTAACAATCACAGCTTGCATTATTCACACGGGACAGTTGGATTCCTTCCTAAGCATGGTGGCTCAAGAAGATCAAGGCTTCTGATTGCTGCCAATCAAGCGGCTACACAAATATTTTTTGTTCCTCCTCACAAGATTTTGCAATTCCTTACCGAAACTTCTTTGATCTTTGGCGAATCAAGGTAGCTTAAATATTGACAATATGATTTATTTGAACATTTTCTTGCATATTCAGTTCAGTATTGCTGATGTTTTTATTCTATTTATTCCATTTGTTACCAGCTTCTTTAGCGGTGAAATATATGAGATGTCATGAGCTCTTTATCATCAAGAAAATAAATTTTCATTACTGCTTCATGTATGTGCTAGGCTTAAATTTTTTGTATAATTGTATTAACAATTTTGGAATCCATTGCTCTTCTTCTTTTTTTTTTCTCTTTTTTGCTGAGACCACTATTTTACCCCATCTATGTTTTTTCTAACTCGTTCCTAGAAACGGTGTGGATGATTAAAATCCTGGGTGATATGCTATAGTATTATTTACTAGATCAGTGCTAGAAGATATCCAATAGCATTTAAATGATTGTGTTGGCAAAATCTAAACTTGAAATGCAGTGGTCCATTGCAAGTGTTGTTTCTCGAGCGTTGTATCTAGGAAGATATACTTCTGCAACTGCAAAATTGACCCTTTCAGGAGCAATATAATGACTCCGGCTTCTGGTGTGGCGCAACCGTGCTTTGGTTTGCAGTGCTCCTGCACCGCATTTCTGGTGCTTATGCACCTGGTTATAGAGAGCTCAACATTCCCTCGCCCAAAAGCGGTGTGGGCGCACTAGGTGTACTTCTCTCCTCTGATTTTGTTTAAATCTTTTGATTCAAGTGACAAAATTTACGACACTCGCGTGCCGCGTTTCGACAAAATTTTGGTGAAGCAGAGCAGAGTCGAGGAGGAGGATTTCAGCGTGTAATTTGTCTTGTGAGATCGAGAAAGTGCTTGGAACAAATTCCTATAAGTTTCATTGATTGTAGAGATAAGATATGAGTGAGTTTCTCTGTACATTTCTTGTTCTTCACTGTGAAAATATTTTTATGGCGTGACTCTTTAATTTTTTCTCTTTCTTTGGGTTTCTCCAGTTAAATTTTGGTGTCTTTTCTGGAATTGTTTTGTTGCGCTTTTGTTTGATTTTTTTTGTTCTAGATGTCTAGAATTGGTGTGATCCTATTCTGTATCGTGGTTTGATTTCTAATTAATCAAAGCCTTGAAAGTATTTATAGTTTCATCCCAACAAGGGGTATCAGAGCGGAGGTTCTTTGATTTGGGTAGGAGCAATATCGACGAAGCTAGGTATAAAGTCTTGAAGTTTAATGGACCGAACTTCACGTTCTAGAGGATGCAAGTGAAGAAATTACCAAGAAGTCCGAGTATTAGAAGAAATTATATCTATCACTATAAGAAATTACCAAGAAGTCCAAGTTGATGACTATGGATGAATGAGAAATGTTGGATTGAGCTGCCTTAAGTTTGATCCGTTTGTTACTTTTATTATCTGTGCATTCAATATAGGAAATGAGAAATCAAGATGAATTTCACGGCGACATTGACAAAGATGTATGAAATTTTTTTGCTTCAAATAATATTTTTTTAATGAAAAGATTATTCAACTTGAAGTTGATGGAAGCAGTTAAGTGGCAGAACAATTGAATAATTTCAACACTATAATGAGCCAGTTGTGCTCTGTAGGGATCAAATTTGATGATAAAGTTAAGGCACTGTTGATACTATCTTTGTTGTCGTACAACTAAGATGGATTGAGCATGGTTGTAACTTTTCAGGGAATATAAAGTTGAACTTTGATGACATCGTGAGTTTGGTGTTGAATGAAGAAGTTCATAGAAAGACAACAAAAGCTGAATCTTCTGATGCTGCTTTGAATGCATAAAATAGATGAAGGAATCTTGATAGCAATACATACAGATAAATTCAAGTCCAAAGGAGAAGTTTAAGTTAAGTAGAGAAAAGAACATAATAGAATGTTGGAACTGCGGAGCGTCAAAACATTTCAAGGACTGTAAAGCTCCAAGGAAAGCTGGTGGTGGAGGACATGAACTGAATCTCTGTGCAAATGTCTCCACAGTCGAAATCCAATGAGAGCTTATGTTGTTATCCCTAGTCAACACTGAATCTTAGATTGTAGATTCAGGTTCCTTTTTTCCCGCATGTCCCGATAAAGAGGTATTAAAAAATTATGGTTAAGAGTGATTTAGGGAAGGCTTATCTAGGAGATAACAAGACCTGCAGTATCGTAGAAAATGGTGATGTGAATATCAAATTGTCAACTGAAACAGTTTGAAAGCTTACGAAAGTTAGACATGTTTCGAGTATAAATAGAAATCTCATCTCTTTGAGCTAGATGACAAAGTCGGTATTCATGAGTACTTTCACATGTGATTTACGGAAAGTGACTAGGCGACAATGTTAATGGCTCCGAGTGATATTGAAAGCACCATTTACCTGATCAATTAAATGATATATTTTATTGATGTGGCTGGAACCAAGGTGAATGCAGATCAGTGACACCGTTTGCTTGTTCATAAGAGTGAGAAAGGTATGGAGTCTAATTTCAAAGAATAAACTTCAGAATTTGAAATCAATAGATTTAGATTATTGTGAAAATTGTATATATATCAAGTAGAAGAATTTTTCTTTCTCTAAAGGTCGTTCAATGGTGAAGTCAAAGAAACTGGATTTAGTGCATACTGATATGTAAGGTTGTACTCCAGTTCACTCCATTGGAGGTTACCACTACTTTGTCATATTTATTGACGTTCACACCAGAAATGTATGAGCTAAATTAAAGCAAAAAATTTGAAGTATTTAAGGAGTGAAATATTATGGTAGAAAATGAGATAGACTTGATGCTGGAGTGTTTCAGATTAGATAATGGGGGTGACTTTCGTGCTCATAAGTTCAAAACTTTTTGTACTATAGAGGGAATCAAACATGAAGAACTCTATGGCAGAATGAAGTAGTTAAGCGTATGAATAGAATAATCACGGAGCATGCCCTAAGCATGAGGCTGCATGTAGGCTTTACAAAATAGTTTTGGGTTGAGATAGTGACCATTATTGTTTGTTTGATTAACTGTGGTTCACTAATTTTAAAGGCTTATGTGAATCCGTCTCGAGTGACAATGAGGTAAATCCAGCTCATTTAAAAGTATTTGAGTGTTCTACATATGTACATGTCAATGTGGGGTCCATGACTAAGTTTGACTCGAAGTTTGTCAAGTGCATCTTCATTTGATATGACTCAGATGTGGGGATAAGTTCTTGGACTATCAAAATAAAAAATTCATTATGAGCAGGGATATTATATTCAATGAAATTGAGATGTACAAGGATAGAGAAAGAATTAAAATTTTTTCATCATTTACCCCTGAAGAGACCAAGTATGTTTAGGTAGAAGACACTAAAGATTAGGAGGTTGGAGAGAGAAGTGTTCAACCAGATGGAGCGTAGGAAATTTCTCAATCACCTGTTATTGAAGTTAGGAGGTTCAGTAGAGTGATAAAATTGTCACACTTGTTTTCTTCTTCGTTACATTACTTGTTATTAACTGATGGTGGTGAATCAGAGTGCTTTGAGGAGACTACTCAAGTTGAAATTTCAAGGGAGCAGATAAATGCAAAAATATATTTCTTACGTGGAGATTTGAAAGAGAAATTATACATGGTGCAACCGCAGGATTATAAGGTTCTAGGGAAAAAAATTTGGTCTGGAGGTTGAAGAAAAGCCTCTATGCTTGAAATATGCCCTGAGACAGTATTACAAGAGTTTTGACAGGTCTATACTGCTTCATCAAATACTTTGGTAATTATTATATCTTTTTTCTTTTGTATGTGGATGACATGTTGATTGCAGTGGTAGATATTGAGAAAATCAGGGACGTAAAGGAGAAATTATCAATTGAGTTCGAGTTAAAGGATTTAAGTCCAACCACAAAGATCTTCGAGATGAGAATCAATAAGAATAAGAGTGCAGATATACCAAAGTTGTCTCAGGTAGAATATATTGAGACGATTCTATATGAGTGTCGACAACTTTTGAAAGTGTTTTAAGTTTAGTTTAATATGTGTATAATTTTGATTTTGAAAAAAATTGTATTTTAATTTTGAAAAATGTGACTGCAGAGATCTCATATATTTAATAGTTTAAGTAATCAAGCACAACCCTACAAACAATACGGTTATCTCGAGAGATAAGCACGTTACTTAAAAAGGGCTCAATTATATAAAATAAATGATTTATGACATCTATATGGTCTTCGAACCTTTTATAGGTGACCGACAAGTTCTTATATATAATATAAAGATTAGGTATTATTTTACATGGGTTCCAATTTTGTTATAAGAGCAAACCCCTATAGTTAATTACATCTCAAATGACCGATGTCACTTGAAAAAACCCTTGGTGATGATCAGAGGTACTAGTATTCAAAAATTCAAGCTTTAGACTTTCATGATTTGACACCAAAAATCAAGTGGGTGTGTCTCGAGCAGGAACATTTTTAGGAGTCCAAAGAAGAGAAAAGTAGAGGATGTTACGAATCCTGAAGAAAACCTCGATCACTTCCCAGACTATCCTACTGTTTGTCTGCGCATTTTGAGAATAAAGTTATTTTAGTGTTCTCCCCCGTCAATTTTATTATTTAGGGCTTACACTATGCAAGTAGCCTACGAAGATGAGAGAGTTTACGTCGCATTGAATGACAACTTCAAAGGTTAAAGAGAGTTAGGACTTAAAGTGCACAACATGGTTATGCAGATGCCTAAAAATAGTGTGAGTGTTTATGTTGTGTTAGAAGAACAACCTCGAAGTCTTACGGGTCATATCATTTAAAACTATAGGATGTTTAGTTGGAGTAGGTCTGTTCATGTTTTGCTTGATCGTCGTCCGTTTGCATCCACTTCGTGCTGCACACAAAGCTTGTTCCGAGCTTCTTGTCGTAGCGACTTCGGGTTTAGGGTTTATATATGAGTATGCATATTGTTGAGTCGGTGTCTTGCCGCGATGTGCCTTTTAAACCAACATCTTAATGTTCTCTATCCTAGGGGCTTTGCAAGTGTTATAAGTAAATAATGGAGAAGTAAAACAGTGGTAAAGGCGCAGAAAAAATTGAAGT